AATAGAAACTGCAAATTGGATGAACCGTTACCTTTGGAATTAAGGAATTTGTTCAGAATTTGTGGATTATTGAATCGAATCTGTTGATTGAACTGGATCTCACTGAAAGCAAGTCGAGCAACAAAAGGTACAATACTAGTGTACCGCCATGCATCTGACAAGTGCATCTACTAGAAAGTAGTCACAACTCCAACAAGTGTGTTTGCAGTATGTTATGACATGAACAACCATATAGCTCTTAGTACAAGCATACTGTGTACACCATCTGGGTATAATGATTGAATGATATAATTATAGTATAGCTGAAATTACAGTATATTAAATGTTTTTGTCCATGCAAACATGTTAGACATGGTGTCTTTTTTTGAGTTTTTAAATGGAAAGAACCATTAAAGTTTAATAATTCACGATGCAAKACAGTTGCCTTATTGAGAAAAAATTACAGTAAAATACAACYTTTAATATCCTTAATCTAAGAATTACATCATTCAACCCATTTGGAAATAGGGCCCCTGGCTGGCTATTTGACAAAGTGTCAAAGCAGTGAAAAAAGACCTATAGATATGTTAATATGCCTCGTGAAAACCAAATCTTCACTGCTTTTCAAGATATTCATGAATAAATAGAATATGTCAAAAATTTATTGCAAAATTCTGAGCCGAGATTATTCATTATCTAACACAGTTGCCTATAATAATATGTTATAATTATTTACTCCAGTTTCGGATTCAAAGCGAATAACCGCTGTTTTATTTGACAGCAGATTCTCTTACGCAAAGACCTTACCAAACACAAAAGAAAGCACAAGAAAATTTTGCTTGTACAATAGCGCTAACAATTTACATTTTCCCYGAGTTGAGGCTAACCCTGTATTCCCAGAAGGCGCATACCTTAGGTCTTATGGGAATACAGGGTTAGTCTCAACTCGGGGAAAATGCAAATTTTCAAGTCTATTGTAATAATGACATGTTCTCGTGCTCTCTTTTGTGATTGTAAGGTCTTTGCGCAAGAGAATCTGTTTTCAAATAAAGCAGCAGTTTTGCGCTATGAATTTGAGCTCATTGTTTTAACATTGAAATATTGACACAAAAATACAATTTATAACATTTTTGGAATCAAATGGATTCACATAAACTGTAATTATTGCACCTCTTGTTTTTAAAAAAAATATTAAATATAACTTCCCACAGTGTTCCAAAAAACGAAGAAGATTAAATTAAATCTAAAACTTAAAAAAATTAATATGCTTGTCGAGGAAACTGATGGAGTGGTAAGCATTGAAGCTTGCCTATGAAGAACTTATTAAGCTGCGCCCCCTGTTTGAAAAGTGTGTTGACAGAGTGAATGACAGGTAAGAACATTAGAAATCTGTTAAAAAATGGCATTTCAGATAACCTCAGAGGAATTCCAAAACAATAATAAGAAAATCCGGGTCACATAACTAGAGATTTTTCTGAAGGYAGTACAGAGTACTGAGTGAGAAAGTCAGGAAAACTTGATAGGTTTAGCAGTTATTAAAACCTCTCACTGGTAGTACCTGCTTGACCCTTCAATTCTAATTTCATAGCTTCACATTGCTGTCAATATTACCTCTTCAACATCAACTTTTGACTCATCTCTACCATGGTTTGGTTTTGTGCTGTCATCAGCCATTTTACACCAAAAATATGGATTATTTTCAACCCGAAATCATGATATTATTATTAAGGATCTTTAAGAAATGTTAATGGACCAGAGGGTTTCTTGTTTATTGGTAAGTCTGATAGGATTGTGATCAAACATTGATATATGTTATAAACAAACTAGCAAAAACAAACCCAAAAAGAAAATGTTTTTAGACAAGTCTCTCTTATGATGTACATGTATTGCAGGCATTTGTAATTCCTTTATCACTGTAGTCAACATTATATTATAGTTTTTCAAAGAATTACAAGTCTATGGGGCTGTAATGTAGTTGTAATTAACCTGTGCTATGTTAAAAACTGTCAAATAATTGTTGAAAAATGAACAATGTGGTACCTGCTTTTCAATATACAATGAAAAAAATATCATTGATTTATTTCTGTGTGTGAGGTCTCAAAAAACMCACATTTAATTAAAATCAAAAACTCAAATATACATATTTTAAGATTCAAACAAAAATAAGAACATCTAGAGCATACCCTTGAGCAAAGGCAAATTACAGAAATTTGGATTAATTTTTGTTCCTGTAAATATATTGACTTTGACATGAAAAGGTCACCTGTTTAAAAACAAAAAGTTCATGAATGCATGCATTCAAACAATTTATCTCATTCTGTAAGACTGTAAATATTTTTTAATGAGGACGAAAAGCAACAAGACATGGTAGGACCTTGTAGTTGAGATCTTATATGCAGTACATGACATAGAGCRGATTTCGTATGAGTGGGAAACGGACGGTACTGTACTGTGACCGTAATCGTACTGTAACCAAATTCTAGTGCCCCATTGGTTCACCAAAATTGTGCAGGCCAGGTCCGGTAACTGTGCGGTAACCGTGCGGTAAYGGTGTCTCACTCATACGAAATCCGCTCTATTATGTACAAGGTGATCTACACATTATGGAGAGGAGAGGAGGGCTTGTTGCGCTGCCACAAGCAGGCTGCCCTGCACTTCTTTTTCTGATTAGTATTCTCTGAAGAAAGTGCTACACTTTTTGAAAGGCTAAACTTATTTATTACAACATTCAGTAAAATAAAATAAATTAATTAAAAAAAAAATCCTCCAAACCCATTCAAACTATACCAAAATTCATTCATGAAAGATTTCATGACACAGAAAMAAATTTTAGTGGATTATTGCTACATGTAGTTCTGAAATATTTTCACAACTTCAGTTTTGAACACTTTATAGTTTTATTGTCAACACTCTGTTCAAATTTCATTTTTATAAAGTATGTTTATGGGGGCAATATTCAGTTTGTTGTTGCGGCACATACATATACAAGGTTCACTTTTTAAAATAATATGAAAAAGAAATTTTTAATAATTGTTGTTGGTGAAATGAGAATTAAAAATCAAAAAGAGACAGGTCCTAAATTTACCCTCTAAGGGCAGGTTCACACTGTGACAAAAGMAGAAACCGAAGCAGAAGCTTGCAGTCCACACTTGACAGAAGCATGTTTTTCTGCTTACTGTCCAGGTTCACACTCATAATCCTTCAACATAAGCAGAAACCGAAGCAGAAGAAAATGAAAAAGTTTTTTATCATTTTCATCTGCTTCTGTTTTCCCTGGTTCACATACAAAATGCGGCTTCTGCTTCAGTCTGTTACTGTAATAATGTCAGTGTGAACCGGCCGTAACAATAAGACTACGATGTCAAGTGGACTATAGATTACTACAGGTAAAATTGATAGTGCAAGTGGTGGTATGTGCTCTTATTGTTTTGGTACCCACCAAAAGTATTACTGTAGCTGGAAAAAAATGACCAAATGCATGTACCATAAGAATTTAATTTTTCTCAACATCGTTTTGACTATTTCAACGTAGCAGCCTCTATCGTGAATAGACCATAGTTCAGTAACCAATCAGAATGTCAGGAGTCCCCAAGAGAGCTACTCKTACAGCACGCTTTTAATTAATATCGATGGGAGACTATTAATAGTAGYCTTGAAATGTTTAATTTTTTTTTTAATATCTAGTACGTTACTCATTGGCCATTATACCCTGAAAGCAGCTGGAACAAAACTGTTGGTTATGTTTGGTTCAGTTGCACRCAGGTTATGGCCATARCAAAAACAGTTAGSTTCTTTTACAGCCTTTATGCTTCAAACRAAAATGGATGRAACACAGTTGTTTAAAAAAATGCCTACAGCATTTMAATTTTGACACAACAAAAGTGTTCGACAGTGTTTAAGTTACAGTTTATATAAGTTAAATATTATTTAAAAAATTCTGTTTTCATTTGATTGTTTACATAACTCAAGTTAATAAAATGCATTKTGTCTAGAGGGGGTAGAAGTATTATTAATAGTCTTCTATAGTTGTGAAATAATACATGCCAGCCTAAGTATTTAATAAAACTCTTTGTATTAATTGAAAAATTTTGTGTCCAGTAGACCTCCAGCCTAGTTGCATAGTTATAATTAGTACTAGTAAGTACTGATACCTTAAATTAGACTTATTTTGTTTAATTTATACTTAATTTCTTTTGCTTATAATATCTTTCATCGCATTCTGGACAATGGAAATTTTTGCCTTTTAWGAGCAAGACACAAATATTTTAATGATATTTGTTTTTATCTACATGTAGGACTGCTATGTTGAGAGTACTATAAACCATGTTTTTCTTAGAAATGTGAAATTGCTAAAAGTTGTAGATATACCAACTACTAGTATTGGTCTTTGTTAAACCTTATTACTATTATTATACTACTATATCAGGTAGCTAATGGAACTATACTTATTGTAAAGAAGTCTAGTATCTCAAAGTCCTGATGAATATTTAATAAATTAAAGCTACAATACCAAGTTAATCCTTACAAATACCAAAACAAAGTATGCTAATCAACAACATAAATATTATCAATTGTTTTCAAAACTTACATTCACGATGAAGTAGTATATAGGTTTGCAGCAAAGTTACTCAATTATTTTGCTTAATTTATGGATATATGGTAAAGTTTGTGGTCGAAATTATAGCTTCTTTACTAAATCCACTAAAAGTAGTCTAGAATCTATGCAAATTTCATTTATATCTTTCTCAATTTAAAGTTAAAATTCTATAATAATTGATGTTGTTTGGAATTAAAATAATTATTTGACACTATACCTGCTCTATGACAACTTGAAAAAAATAAAATATATTAAACTTTTGATTCTGCCAGAAAAGACATTTTACACTAAGGTTTGCACAATAGAAAACAAATAGTAATAAAGATCCCAAAGAAAACCGAACGAATAATAATAAAACGATCAATGAAAAAATGTTCAYCCCTGCGTAAAGTTGCCATTGACAACCGCTCATATGCAAATTTCTATCGCCACTMGTGCGTTGCAGTTGAATAATGAGCTATTTAAAATTTAGCGAAATATCACAAAATATCACAATKTTATTTTTCTCAGCTGAAAATATATGTTGGACACAATATTCAAAATTGCGCACAWTTATTTTATCATTTGCACATTTAAAAAAAATCCTGTATAAAGTTGGAAATTATTTTTCCAAAGAACTTGGTGTTAGAATATAAAAAAAAATTCAACTGCATTTTAGAGACTCSATTTTAATAGAAGCAATATGTTTTACCATTTTCCAGGTTTTTCAAAAGAAATTTCATTAAATCTCATATATTAATAAACATTTAAGGGAATTTTTGTACCTCGTACTACACAGGACTTAATCAAGCAATTCTGTAAAAGCATGCATATAAATCGAAAACAAAAATAACTGTTTTCACTGCAAAAAAAAATTATCACTTGATCTGCCCCTATGGTTTTGAGAAATTGAGTTGGGTTTGAACGTCAATATTTTTTTCAATTTCAATTGTGTTGTATTCCGCCAACGCACTAGGAAGAAAACCGAATTCGACAGTTCTAGCATTGTCAACACCCCTACCTGCCGAACAGAATTCAATTTTAAATAAAAAATAAACTAAATAATGCAGGTAGAATTTCCTTTTAAACGTAGAAATAATAAAACTTAAAATCGAGGCGTTTTCTAGGATTTAGCGAAGGAATTTAAGGTCCGCTCGGAATACAAAAACCTGTTCAATTTTGGTTGGTATGATCTGGCGAGACGCGCTCAAAATCGCATGTATTTTTAATCAATATTTGAGGCTTGCTTTAATCTTTGATCACTACGACTCCTGATTTCTGTGGAATCTGAAAAACGTAGTATGCTTCAAATACACCAAAAATATCCACGAAATGTACGTACATTTGAAGAGCCGGAGTACGTAGCTTACATGCTTCATTTAGCGCGCCGAGTGCCATACATTTTAGATCGAAATTTGCCCAAAAATATGTCAACTTATTTACAATTTTTTGGTTTGGTAATCCATTTTATAAGTTTAGAATCCTCGTATAGAAATAACAATAATAATTGATGTTTATACCAAAGAAAGAATATCAAAAAATATTACGATYGACATGACATCGAAGTCAGTCAAGCGAAAATTTGAAGAAATTATTAAATCACAGTCCACCAGGAATGATTCCCGTTATTTTAGCAAACACATACAAACTTACAACACAAAAAGCAGCAACACATTGCATACATCACAAATTTCGAAACAGCAAGCCATAAATACAAGGACAACTATAAAGMAATACAATATAAATCAAAGAAAATACCAAATTTTCGTTTGCGGCGAGAGGGTTTCGGTCATCCATTCTTGATGGTCTTCGTAGGTCTTCTCGTTAGAACTCAGCTCCTTCTCTCTTCGCTAGCTTCAAATTATCCATACATTATCCATCACTACATAGTAGCTATGGAYAAATGCTTTCGCAGATTTTAGACATTGATTTAGAGCAAAATTCGGTGAATTCTTCGAGGTTCGACGAAGCTCTTCCCTCGCTCAGCCAATAACAAATACTGCGCATGCGCGTATTGTTTTGCACCTGTTTTGTTTTGATTGACAGGAAAGATCAAGATGGGCGTGGATTGGTGCGTACAGGTGAAATATCACGGGATCTTGCAGGGGAGGGCAGAAGCAGAGTACAGGAATTTCTTTTCTTTTTCTTGATTTTTTCAGTTTTTTTTCGGCTTTCTTTTTTCCACTTTCTTTTGGATCATTTTAAAGTAGAGAGAATCATAGACGTCCTATATATTTATTTGGCATTAGAAGATGTGCCTCTCAATAATCCCAAGTGTTTCTAACATAGAGTGGGTTCAAATATCTTCTAATGACTTTATAAAATAACAACAACTTTGCACTTTAAGCCATGTTTTTTGTTCTTATCTAAACGCGCCGTTTTGCACTTTTCCGTCAATCAATGCGCTTGTTCAATAATAGTTATAAATCCGTTTTGAATTTATTCAAAGGGGTATTGTAGCATGTAGGAATCTTTCAAGTTAAGTTGACACTACAGCGGAAGTGCTCACAATTACCTATGCGATTTAGTTAACACTGAGTTTTGTCGACGTTGTCAAGTTCAGAAAGGCGAATCTATCGACAGAGAACATGGCGGATTAAAATAAAAAAATTAAAAAAATATTTTTGTGCACAATATGTGTTCTAGGCATGCAGTGTTGGTTTCTCTATCATGTCTATTAGAAATGTTGATAGTGTACATATTAAACTGTACATATAAATTAACCTAGCCAAGGATTTCCAAGGTGGTGGAAAATTCCGCAGGGTACTTACATATAAATAAAGAAGAAGATGAAGAGAAAACAACAACAACAACAACAAAAACTAAAGACGGTGGAATTATACACCCTTTTAATAAGTCCCGAGGTATTGTGTTCTCCGCACTTGACGTCAAATTTACTTGAATTCCTTTTGTATTGTATGAAATTTCATAAATAAATTTTGACGCGCGTGAGTATCCGAAATCACACCATATGTCATATAGCTACGATATCAATTTTAAACGATTTTTAATTTATAATTGAAAAAGTTTGAAATAGATTTTGTAGCTATATAACTTATTATCAAAATTATAAGGACGGAGATACGTGGTGTGCGCATGCTTAGACTGATTCCCCTAAGCCGTTCCAGTTCTCTCTGTCGATTTTTTTCCCGATCCCAATAAATAACGCTAATTCCTGATCCCATGTATAACTCGTTATTATACCCTTTCATGAGGGTGTATAGTAGTTAATAACTGACTAATGAAAATCGTATATTTAAAAGGCTACTTGGATGAAAAATGGCGAAACACTGGAAAAGACACGAAATTCTTGTAGACTTATCAATAAAGATCCTATAATCACGAAGCAATGTATTTTGACAAGATATTGATACAATTTCTTAGGAATTTTGTCATAGGATTTTTGAGTATATGACATCATATACTCCATCCTTTTGTTCTATCTTCGTTTGAGTCAAAAAATTTTCTGCTTTGGAATGACTCCATAACAAAACTTTTCTCTGAGAAAGTAATATAGGTATATATGAATCATATATTTGAATTACACAGGGTTCTGAAATTAGTGCTTCTTCGTGCAAGTAGCACTTTTTACTTTCTTACTAAAATTTAATTCAGGCGCGTACTGAGTCCGTTACGCATATACGCACGTGCGTACTAGTGGCAAGGAAATATTAAAATTTTCGGGATTTGATGCCTTTTTAGCCTGTGTACATCCGTTCTCTCCCCGATTTTTTTGGAGGGGTGAGAAACGGATGTACACAGGCTAATGCCTTTTATCAAGAGAAAATGAGGTAAGAGAAGGAATCCTTGTTACCCATCATATCAGCCCTTCGTTCTATCATTTTAGAAAAAGAGGTATTTTTAGTTTGTTACCAAGCCCGCGCGACCACTACTCGTTTATCGGAATTTGATATCKGCTATTTTTCATCGCCAAAAACTGAATGTCAAATACTGTTCGAGAAAATTAAAGCTACGAAATTCGCTTTTAAAAAGGAAACTTCTTGAAGAAGAAAAGGAATCTTCTTCAAAACAAAGAAAACTTGAAAGTGTCGAAGAAGAATCAGCTTCTGAAGGTAATGTGACATGAAATTAGATCGACAATCTGACCTTTGTT